CGATGTTATCAAGCAACGTTTTGTCGCAAGTTTTTATCGTCAAATATTATTATTATCACCATTATTATTATCATTATTATTGTATTAAAGCACGATAAACTGGCAAATTTAATAGTTAATCAATGTATTTTGAGTATTCCAAACACCGTGGATAGTCCTTACTACAAAAAATATTAAAAGAGAACTGAAACCAAATGGTCACCCTTTCGAATTTCATTTGATAGAAAATAATTTTCAGACGTCGATTTTAAAATAATATTTCTCGACATTTGAATTGGCAAAATGAGACGCTTTGATTAGGTCCCACCGAGATTTGAACTCGTATCGTTGGATTCAAAGTCCAAAGTGCTAACCATTACACCACGAGACCACCTACAAAATTTATATTTAATATATTGACAGTGTTCATTGACTGGTGGCTTTCAGAGTCTTTAAATCGCTCTATGCAAACAAGAGAGTGGGGTTATTAATACTTTGGTTGTATTGGCTGAGGTAATTTAAGCAATAGACCGCACTTTTTATCGGTTTACCGGCCAGGCGTAATAACTCGTGCGGAGTGTCTTCGGCTCTCTGACAAAAATGTCGTGAATGTAATTTTCGGTGAAAAATTTATAGCTTTTTTTTCACCTTCATAACCTTCTGCACCAGTCTTCACATGTTTGGCTACCGTAATAGAAGAAATCTTCAGCAGACTGTTCGGAGATTTCGTCCAATTCGACTCTAGATCAACAAATTTGCTTTAAGTTTCCCCCGCCGCCACTTTGAAAAGATGGCCTTTATTCAGCCATTTCAGATCACATGACTCCGAAGCTAAAGAGGTCTGTTGGCCACAATAAATAGATCCTAAAGCTGGCGTTTCAAGCGTTAGCCCCTTGTCAGAGTCAGTCGGAAATTTTACGGCGTTGTTTGGTTTATATACAAAAAGATGGAGCTATGCTTTAAGTGGGAATATGGTGACATGAAAAACACAAGAATGAATAAGAGACGGACCATTCTTTTTCTGGAGGGAGGTATGAGAAATTTTCTTCTGCAAAAATGTTTTTAAACATACACGTCTCTGCAAATCTTTTTTTCAACATTTTCTTCGTGCACACAATTTTATTCTTTTTTTTTTCAGTGTTCTTTTTATTTGTGCTAAATATTATCATTGCCTTTTTGAACTATTTTACGAAGAACGTAATTAATATGATGACCAGTAACGTTGAGATTTAATTGTCGCAATAAATTGCCACTTTTCCATTTTTTCTCGAGAAGCTACGAGACGGAAGAAAAACTTGAAAAAAAAATTTTATTTCTAGAACGTTTTTTTTTTATTATTCAATGTTTTCTTTAGAATAGAGAACGGAGAAGGGAGAAAAGGAGTGGGGAACGAAGAACGTAGAACGGGAATGGGAAACGGGAATGAGGAACAGCAAATTGAATAAAAGGCTTAGCAAAATTTCATCGGACAGAGTAACCTTCGACAAAGCAGCACCCATGTATCAGCAAGCGTTAGAAGCAAGTGGCTATAATCATCAATTAAAATTTGACACAACAACTAAAGACCAGAGGAGTACAGAAGGGAGAGGAAGACACCGAAATATAACTTGGTATAACCCACCTTTTAGTAAGAACGTTGCCACTAACGTGGGAAAAAAATTTTTAGGCATCGTAAAAGAATCCTTTCCGCCAGGGCACTCACTAAGAAAGATTTTTAATAGGAACACTTTGAAAGTAAGCTATTCGTGCATGCCAAATTTAGAAAGAAAAATCGACGCCCACAATAAGTCCGCCCTCGCAAATAATTCCCAATCGCAAGAAAAATCATGCAATTGTAGAGACAAACACTCTTGCCCGTTACGTGGCAATTGCCTAATTCAAAATGTGGTCTACCAGGCCACAGTTGAAAGTCCCTTGGGAACCCAAACGTACGTCGGCCTTACTGCGAACCAATTTAAAACAAGATTTAGAAATCATACAGCTTCATTTAGACACGAGAACAAAAGGAACGCAACAGAGTTGAGCAAATATATCTGGTCCCTAAAGGATGCTGAAACGGAGTTTTCCGTGACCTGGAAAATAATAGCTCGTGCCAGGCCGTACTCAAATACCACGAAGAGATGCAATCTTTGCATAGCTGAAAAATTCTTTATCATATGCAGAACAGGGGCGGGTACCCTAAACAAAAGGAACGAACTGGCGAGTGCGTGCCGGCACTCATCTAAATATCTGATAAGGCTGCTCAAACCACCTACTTAAAAGGTCCGTTAGTCAACTAGTGCCTTATCCACCTGACGAGAGAGGACTTTTCCTTTCGAAACAGATCTGTAGTATCAAGTTTTAATTTTTATTTTCCTAAATAATCGTTTACAAAGCTCCATATGATTGTAGAGCACTCTGCGATTCAAAGATAAGGTTTTTTACATTTTTACATTTATATATATATATAT